ATGCATATACATACATATTTGATAATAAAAAATTAAATAAGAAATTTATTTAAATATTCATTGAATATTAATAAATCAAACTTAAAACCAAACCAAATCAAACTAAACAAAATTAAAATTTTAAGTTTAGTTTTGTTTGATTTATAATTAAATTGATTTGATTTAATTTTTAAAATATTAAAATTAAAAATAAAAAAATTAAACCTAATTATAAAAATTAAATTAAACTAAACTAAAATCATGATTTTGCACCCAGTAGTTGAGTAAGATGTGTATTTAGATTCTGGAGTGGAATCTTGACGTTAAGATTTACCCTACGGGACTGCTTTCAAGATTTTATTTTTATTGTCAAATTTATTTGATAGGATTTTGAAATCACTCTAGAAGTTACCCATTTCAGAGTTTATTCTAAAATTTAACCTAATAAGTATAAATATATAACATGAATTGATTTTTTTTTTTATAAATTAAATTTGCTTTTCGTCTTAACACAAATCTTTAAATAAGTTCCAATTTTAATTATAATTTATGTTTTTTCAAAATTTCGCTGTTAATACTTCATAATTCAATAAAACACAATTTTATTTTTGATATTTTTATTAAATTTACTAATAAGTGAGATTTATAATTATATAAAAAAAATTAATATACAACTCATTATTAAAAAAAGTACCAAAGACAAATAAAAACGAAAGATAATGTAAAATAGTAAGAAAAAAGGATGCAAATCTCCAACACCATTATTACTTTCAAAGGTTGACTAGTACAAACAAAAAGCAGGGGGAGGAGGCGTGATGCTTTTCCAGACTACACTCTGTTAAGTCTGAAATAAAATAAAAATAAAAATTTAAAATAAAGTAGGAGAGCGTTACAAAAAAAATAAGCATTTTTTCGAAATATATTTTCGTGGAAGATGTATTACTGACTTAATTCAAATTATTTTATCTGTTTAATTCTTGTATATTTAAATCAATTTTGGGTATGAACCAAGAAGTACCTACTATGGAGAGGAGGACAAATGTTTTTAAACCTTTTAGATATACACGGGCAAATGTCTTTAAAGTCCCTGGCCTATAAACCTTTTGATATGCGTGTGTGTGTGTCTCGAAGGTAAAGGAAGCAAATGTTCTTTGGCCTATAAACTTTCTAAATATAAATATAAAGAAAAAGATAATGTGATGAGCAGAAGTAAATGGCATTTTCGTTAATTTATTAAGCAACAAGGTTATATTACTTCATGGTTTATTACTATGTGATTGTGTAAACTAACTATTCATCTATTTCAACGTTGCAAAATAAATATTACTATTTTACCATTAGGTTATAGCTTAATTGAAAAGTGGTTATATACTTCTAATGTTAGTAACTTTAGGTTTATTTCTTTCTTTTTTTTTTTGGGGGGGGGGGGGGGCGGGGGGGGTAGATTGCGAAAATTTTTTTCTATAAATATCTTAGCACAAACATATTTAATTTATTTTTGATTTGTCTAAATAAATAATTTATAATTTTCTTAACCATAAAATAAGTTGAGATATTAGGAAGTTTGAGGAGTGTCGTCAAAATACTCTCCAGTGGAGAAGGTTTTATTTTTATTGGATATTAGAATACAATTTTTAATTATTTTCAGAAATAAGATTAAAAAATGAAATTTTAAATTAGCCTAAGACTTAACAGCATTTCTATGTTTATAATTTTCTCGGAAATTCTGGAAACAAAGGAATAAAACTGATAATAATAAATAAATAAAATTATAAATAGGGAAGTTGAGAGTGAGCCGAAACCATTGACCGGAGGCAGCACGGAAGTAGCCGGGAAAATCAAGGGGCACATGGTTTGCTGCTTTGCCAGCCTCAGTCAGAAAGACGTTTCATATCATACAGAAGAAGACTTCAGCTAGTCAAGTCAACACTCTCTCACCTCTACATGTCTGGTCATTATCCCGCTGCCTTCTCCATCAATCATGCACAGAATGTCTACGCAAGACTGGGTCAACTAAACCTAATTTCTCCCTTCCTCTCTTCTCAGGACTGATGAACAACCAATTTTGTGCTTTACGTTGCTGTGAAAAATGATGATAATATTAACACTAAATAAATCAAATGATACAACTTTTGACTATGTAGGCACGTCTGGAAATGATGATGGCCTTGTACAGTTTGGCCAATCAATCAAATAATAGAACTTATGACTACGTAGGCACTTCAGACAGTGATGATGGCCTTCTACAGTTTGTCCAATCCTTCTCTTTCTATTTCTATTTTCTCGGGTTACAGGAAGAGCATAGTACAATCTAATTTCAATTTTTACAAGACACTATAGATTCTTTTTAGAATTTTATCCGTGGGCAATTGGTTTTCTTTGGTCCTTCTAAATAATTTAATTTGTTTATATTATTTAAATAAATATAAATATATATATATGTATATAACTAACATTATTACGCATATATATACTACGAATATCAATTATTATTATCAAGAATTTGACAAGAGGAGATAAAACTTAATACAATTATAAATTGATTAAAAGTGAATAGAATGGAAGAAACATGCTAAATTCTTTGCATCATTCCAAAAAAAAAAAAAACTCTGATTAGTTGGTATACTATATCTATACTAAGTAATTTTTATTCTATATTAATAGCCGTATAAATATTTCATAAATGCAAAAAATTATTTGAGAAATCCAAAATTATTAAAAAAAAAAAAAAGCAAACTTAGAAGGAACCATATATTTAACATGCACGTAGAATTATTATTGATCTCTTCTCAAGAGTGAGAAAAGAATATTGGAGTTTAAACTCAATAAGAGGGTAGATGGCCATGTAGAGCCAAATTGTTAAACAAATAAAGACGATGACTCTAAAAGTTTCTAAATTCCAAGTTGTACAGGAGGTCTAAATTTGTTGTTTAGTTGTCTCTACATTTTACAGTTCCTTGCTCTATCAGGAAAATGGTCGACAATGGTTTGTGCTGTATAGTCTTTGACCACGCTATGCCGTGATATTTGGCCGTCTAGAAAACTTTTAGGGGCCAACTTGGAAGTAAAATGTCACTACCAAGAAAGAAAAAAATGGATTTCTCATAGACTAGAAATAGGCAACTGTGCCAAAGTCGCCGAGTCATCTCTCACTCATATTCATTGATCCCAATAATGGCCTGTAAGTCATCGCCATGTTTCTGCCACTGTAAGGTATCTACTCTCAATATAGAATTCCTTCGCACATAAATCTTAACCTACTTGGTTTTTAGTCCCCAACTCTCTCTCCTTCTTGGAGAAAATAAGGGAACTGCTGAGAAAGAAGAGAAATTAAGCAGAACTATGGGACGTGTCCAGACAGACCCATCCCCTAATTCAGATTATCAGGTTTCTGCTCATCCGGAGGTGGCAGACACCTCGGAAGATGCTCCTCCACCGCCCTACGAATCTTACGCCGATGAAACTCACCAAGTCCAAGGTTACTCTTCAAACCCCCTTCCAAATGAGCCTCGAAACCAACCAGCACCACCACCTACTTCCAGCAACAGCCACCTCCGGCGGCCTATCCTCCTCACAACATCAACCCACAACCAACTGCAAATGCAAACCTTAGCAGCCAACCTCATCCTCTTTCATACCCACCTCCCTCCCAAAACCCACAGATGCTTGCGCCTCTTTCCACCCCTCCACCAACCTATCCTCCCCATTCTCCTCATCAAGTTTATCCTCCTCGACCTCAAGCTCAACCCATGCAATATCCCCCCCTCTTCTGGTAACGTGAGTTTCCAAGTTCCATCTGAGCCAGTTATTCAATTCCCACCTCCTCCGGCCCCCATGTCCCCCATGTATCAACCAGCTTACGGACTTGGCCCGCATGTCAATGGCAATGGCTTGCCACCACAGCCAACCATGGGTGTGCCACTTAATCAATTTCAGCCACCCACTGAGGGTTGGAGCTCTGCCCTATTTGATTGCATGAATGATCCTCAAAATGGTCTCTCTCTCTCTCTCTCTCTCTCTATATATATATATCTACTTATCAATCTCTACACTTTTAAAGTTCTTTTTTTTTTTTTGGGATAAAATAGATAATATTTTTTGTAGCACACTTGCTCTAAGCTTGTGTGACAACAGTGGATCCTCACCATGTGGTCAAAAAAATCAGATGCGCCAAGGATGCGCATGTTTGTATCCATGAGTTCTGCTACTCAAGCTCGGAATGCAGAGATGAGTCATGGCTAATAGATTCAGAATGAGAGCGGACTGGCTCACCCTCCATCGGGATGAGATGGGTGTGTTCCTGGTTCCCACAATCACACTGATAAATGAAAAGGTCCGTGCATGCTTCAAGATTTTATAATTAATCCTTCTAGCCAGCTATAATGCTTTGCCTCTAGCAGCTGGTTAGCTAGTCATAGTATTATATGAGATCAAATATTCGCCTCACCTCTTACCTCTCAAATGGAGAGGCGAGACTTCAAAAAAGTGAGTCTCGTTTGTTTATGTGAAGTGTGAGAAAAGTACTTTTTTACATCTAATATTAATAAATAAATAAATAAATAAATATTTAGCGGCAAGATTTATTTTTTAATTACTATTTACTAATTTTGTTTTTCATCTCATCCTCAGCTCTCATAACCGCCTGCTTCCCATGCGTGACTTTTGGTCAGATTGCAGAAATCATCGACCATGGGCAGACTTGTAAGTGCAAATTCAATTAATATTTTATAAAAAATGATATTTCTCCTCGCTAATTCTTTCAATACATTTCATATCTAAATAGGAATTAGGATATGTGTGAATCTGGCACACTGCGGGTTGATCTAAATTCTGAAGTTATAGATTGCCAATTTCAATTTGTCTCACCATTTTTTCGAAAAATTAGAGGCTGGTCCTCCAAAGGTTTTATTATTATTATTATTATTATTAAAGAAAAGCCCCTTAATTTTTTAAATACGAACTAGAGGCCCTCGTCCGAAAGGAATTTTCTGACTTGCTCTCGGTTTGATATACTGGGTAGCATGCGGGACAAGCGCAATCATGTATGGATTGATAGCCTTCTTCAAATCGGACTGCCGTTCGTGCTGTCGTGCACTTACCGCACAAAGCTTAGGAGCCGATTCGGCCTGATCGAATCACCTGCTCCCGACTGGGTGACTCACTGCCTTTGTGAGTGGCGTGCGCTGTGTCAAGAATATCGGGAGCTTCAGCACAGGGGCATTGACCCTTCTTTTGGTACCTTCCTCGCTCCTTACCTTTTTTTTTTTTTTTTCTTTGTACCAGAAATCCTGTAATCAATTTTTAGGGACTATTAATTGATTAATTAATTCAATTCAAATAGAAAGCAGTAAAAAGAAAGTTGATAATATTTATTCGAGGGTACATTTGTAATTTCTCTTTCTTGGAAGGATTGGGTTTAATTTCCTCTTCTACAGTCGAAATTTGAGTACTGTTTCAAATTTGAAGGGAAATGCTGCATTCAGCTTTGACTTTTTTTATTTAAAACAAAAAAATGCTACAATCTAGCTATTAACAAATTGAGGCTGCGTGTACCTCTCACGTGCAGAGTTGGGTGTGAGGGCATTGTGCAATGTGCTCACATCTCACGTTGAGAGGTGAAGGTGCTGTCGTTATACCTAACATTAAAAAAATAGTTTGGATCTTATTTTTTTATGTAAAAGGTGAGGGTATTGTTCTTATATCTGATATCAAAAAAAAAAAAAAAAAATGATATGCACAGATAAAAATTTTGGTAAGCTATTTAATGGACCCACCATAATTTTGGGAGCATGATGATATAATTTTTTTGAAGTTTGAACTGGAATCATATAAGCTAGTGCATAAGAAAATTGAATTGATGATCTTATGTAGGATGGGTGGGGAACATGGGGAAGATGCAGCAGCAACAACAGCAAGTTCAAATGGTGCCACCAATGAACCAAACCATTATGGGTTGAATTTGATGATGCTCAACTGGCTGGATTAGCCCCTCTCTACTTGTGTTGTCCTCCTAAGTTTTTTAAGATTGTTCTACCTCCTTCTCTGTTCATATTCCATGTTTGTTTGTTCCTCTTGTTTGGGGGATAAATTATTTCTGTTATTTTCGGAGAAATGTAAATGATGATCTCTTGCTGTTACTTTCTCAAGAATGATAATAACTAGCATGGAAAATTTAGTTTAATTATTTTCCTTTTGCTTAATTCTCAAAACTCACAAGATTACTAATATTCACAACCCATTATTTATTCCCTCGTCCCCAGCAAGTAACTTTATTGTAGCATTTCGAACCTCAAACTTGTTGATATAAAAACAAACTTTCTTATATTAAATAATTACAAAAGAAGACCATGACCAAACATTAATTATATACTACGACCTAACAACATTTTTTTGTTAAAAATTAGGGCCTAATACTAAATTGAACATACAAATTATTTTAAAAAATTATCATACAATTCCTATATACTGAACTCATAAAATGATTATACAAACTAATTAAACAACTATACAACTGGGTTATATGACTACCCAAGGCATTAGGATCCCCACCCATGTAAATGGAAATGATTGATCGATCAATTAATAATGTAGGCCAATATACCCTTTTGTGATTTTGCTTTAGCTGTATGAGAACCACAGTAATTTCGGATTTTTAAATTATCTCTCAAATCTCAAATTGCATGTTCTCGTAATTTTCCTAAAAATGGAGATCTCATAAGTGGAAAAACGTAACTATTCCACGAAACCACTCTAGCAAAGGTGTGCGAGGTAAATATCTAAGTTAGGGGTAGAAATAAATTGAGTTATTTGTAAATGATTCATGACCCGACATATTTTAATTTAAATTAACTCAACTCATTTATATGATTAAGCTTAGAACCATTAATTAATTTTTTTTATTTAAACAAATTTAATCAAATTATATTTAACCTAACTCTTAAACCTAACAAGCAAGCTTATAAAATATATATTTTAATTATAATTTATATCATATATATATGTGTGTGTGTGTCTGGTTTAAATATGTCTAAGTCAATCGGTTATAAAATCTTACTAGTTTCACAAACAAATTAGATTAAGACTATTTATTTAATCTCCCATAAGCCATCAGTCAAACTCAATCTAGTAATTTTTTTAGTAGATCTGACTTTTCTAATTTTCATCCCAACTCAATCTGACTTTTTTTCATGTTGCCTCGGTCTGACTTTCTCACGAGCAAATTCATGTCTTTTTAATACCTTTAATCCTCAATCCAAATACAAATGGTCTCAAAACCTTGGTAAAATAACAGCAATAATAATAGTAATCAGTGCTTGGATACATCAAAATTCTTTGTTATTGTAAGAGGGTGTAAACACAGTAAACTACATCAAATAAACAAATGAGAATGTTGGGAAAAAAATTGAGATGAAATCAAATCGCAGCTTGAATTTTTATAATTGAGTGAAGAAATTACAATACTGCCACAACTTTAATCGAGGAAAAGCCAAAAAGAAAATTTTAAATCCAAGAAAAAAAAAGGAAGGCAGGACTACATTTTCGATACATTTAATTTGTATAAAACAACCTGAATACATGACGATACAAGCTTCCATAAATCCAGTCTCTAGGTATATATAGTACAAGAGAATTTAAATGTTGATGGTGGCATCCCACAATCTTAGCAGGCCATTACGACCACCACTGCAGATCCGTTTGCGTTCAAGGTCTGAAGCCACGCATCTTACCTGAAACAACAGGAAAGCCATTCATAACATATTTCCTTCAGTTTTAAATTTGTCACCTCTCCAAATGAAATGCAAACTTAATAGCTATCAGTGGATTGTAGAGTCTCGGACAATAAATAAAACCAGTTGATAGCTAGGAAAAACACACACACACACACACACACACACAGAAATTAGATGGCAACTCTTCTTATTAGGAGATAAGATAATAATGTTTTACTTTCCATTACAATATAAATCAAAATATATAGAAGTGGGCAATAATATGCAAACATTATTACAATGCCAATTAAAGCTATTAAATAGCAATCATTTTCAACATTATGCAGCACGTTTTTCAATTCTTAGATCTAAAAGTTATTTGGCAACTTTTGATTAATATGTGCTTATCAAGTAGTTGGCTATTTTGGTATCATGATCCTGAATTGACAAGAATCAACCCGCTCGAACATCATTACATAATATATATGAATATAAGGTACACCCCATTTCACTTCTACTTGGCTCTATTACACAACAGGAAAAGGGGCTATTTTAACTGCTTGAAGAATTTTCGATGTACAAGGAAAACCAACTCTTAAGGTTGCAATTTTTAAGCATAAAATTAAGCTAATGAAAGACATGCAGACCTCCCTATCTCATTCTACTTTGCCCCAATCATGGCCCTCATTATGTATGGCCAATTCATTTGGCATAATAAAATCACGCCTTCTCAAGAGAATGGGATGATACAAAACATGACTTAATTTCACTATTGAATTAATGGGTGTTTGGATTAGTGAGTTCCTAAACTTTCCAGTAATGGCAAAAACCCAGAAACTCTTGCGACCCCTTTTCAAAAATGCCCACCAACAAACTAGGGTTCTCTTCAAAAGAATATTTAATAAACTAAGTTATTATATATGAAAAGATGCTTAAACTAACATTCCACAATCTTCCAAACGTTTAATGTACCATATAAGCCATTGTTTGGTATAAAACATATCTCAAAGACCAAAGCATTTCCTCTTAGAAAGCATTGACAAACCAAATCTTCAACTAATATAATGAACCAAATGGAGAATGATTCTTATATGCATACGTAACTTAGATTCAGAAAGAGACATAGATCTCCAATACTGATGGACAATACTAACAATCCCTTTCATAACTACATAAGAAAAGGGGAACACAAGTCTAAAAGCAACAAAAACCAATAACCTAACCCTACATGAACAGTTTACAGAATTATATAATCAGTTACAATAAGAGTGATGATGATTATGTTCAACAATTTAATAAATGAGTGATTATGGGTTACTTTGTGTCATGTCAACACAATGGGACATGTGACATTAGTCCTGTTGCTAGTTTGTCAACTTTGGATTGGCAAGCAAACTGGCAATACAACAAGATATGGTGTTTGTGTCATGAGAGTCAACAATTCAGCCAAATCCAAACTTTATCATCTTGTGCAGTAATGTATAAGTGTGCATGTAACTACCTCAAATCGTTTCTGCTAGCTTCATGCCAATTTAATAGCGTCTTGTCTCAAGTGGCACCTTCCACACCTTGACAACCCTTATTAAGAGACTCGTATAACTTGGATTCTTATATTTTTATTTACTTGTTTAAAACCAAGTCTAGAATTATGATTTAGCTCAAATCTTTGTCATAAATCTTCTTCCCAAACAGGGATTTGAAAGGCAGCACAAATTCAACATTACGATTTTTTTTTTTTTTTTCCCAACTAAGATAAGTAGGGGTAGATGATTTCAGGAGTGTTTGCAGAACACCTAACTTACAAGACACTATGGGTGCAAAGTACAGAACTGTACAATTCCCTGAACTGCAGTTTGCAGTATAATATTTTTCCACCAAAATGAAAACAGCATTGATGCAAAACACACATTGTTCGGGTCTTTTCATGTCGGTCCTACAAGGTACATATATTTTCTTATGCTTTTTCTTTTATACATTAATTTTGTCTTTCCACATACTAGACTTGAACATCAAAATCATCATGAAGTTAAACTCTTACTAACAAAGCCTTTAAAAAGTCCTCAGCTTCCCTATGAACTATATTTTGCAATACATTCTAATTAAAATTTCCAAAATAGTGATGAAAGCACCTAAGCTGAAATAAGGAGAGTGATGCTACTTGTTTTTTGCCATCTTTCCCCTTTAATTGTTACTTCAAACCTATATTAGATACTTTAATCAAACTCTAGGTACCAAATAACACCTATGCCAATCAAATGATTCAGTTTGATTAGTCGAGACTCCAGGATTGTGGCACGCAAGCATGGCGGGGCGCAACCTCAAGCCTCTGATCTTTAGCTCATGATTCGCCTACCTGCCTGGCAACCAGTGAGTTTTGGTCCACTGGGTTCTTCTTTCCCTCACTAGAACCAACCCAACGGCACACCCACACACTGGCTCAGCCTCCACAAAACCCACATGGGTTTCTCACTCTAAAGCCAACCCAGCAAACTCACGGTTCAGCCTCCAAGCTATGGGTTCCTCACTCTCTCTCGCTCTCTAGAAGTTGGCAACAGAAGCTCACATGAAAACAGAGTACACGAAACAGAACAGAAAAGAAATAGAAGAGAAGAGAGCTCGTCTTGGTGGAATCCTGTTGGGCTTCCTGGTTTTTTTCAATTCCTCAATAACCTGTCCATGGGATTGCAAAACTTACAAATATATATAAGAGAGAGAGTTGGCTTTCTCTCTCTCTATTTACAATTAATAATGTAGGCCAATATACCCTTTTGTGATTTTGCTTTAGCTGTATGAGAACCACAGTGATTTCGGATTTTTAAATTGTCTCTCAAATCTCAAATTGCATGTTCTTGTAATTTTCCTAAAAATGGAGATCTCATAAGTGGGAAAACGTAACTATTCCACGGAACCACTCTAGCAAAGGTGAGGTAGATATCTAAGTTAGGGGTAGAAATAAGTTGAGTTGTTTGTAAATGATTCATGACCCAACATATTTTAATTTAAATTAACTCAACTCATTTATATGATTAAGCTGAGAACTATTAATTAATTTTTTATTTAAACAAACTTAATCAAATTATATTTAACCTACCTCTTAAACCTAACAAGCAAGCTTATAAAATATATATATTTTAATTATAATTTATATCATATATCTGTGTATGTGTGTGTGTGTGTGTGTGTGTGTGTGTGTGGTGTTTAAATATGCCTAAGTCAATCGGTTATAAAATCCTACTAGTTTCACAAACAAATTAAATTAAGACTATTTATTTAAGGG